CACCTTTGCTCCATACACACTTCCACATCAGCTGCCATTCTGTAAGACTGCCCCCTTTGCTGCCATCTATCGCACAGCAACAAGAAGTAATGGATCATTGGTGGGAAGGTTCAATCTCTACTGCTGTCATCCACCTTTAATGTCGTAGGGCATCATAAACTGGAAGGCATTACTTTCAGAGCAACCCTCATACTTACAGAAATCAAAATGTTCTTATGTTGAGAAAAGCAGCATTGAATGACACACAAACGAGTCAGGACTAACATCTAATCTTTCAGTATAGTTTTGGAAAGAAACCATTGCAAGAAACGAAAGACAAACAGCCACTAAACACCCCAAATCAGATTCTCACACATGCTTTGGAAAAAAACTAATTTTAAATAAGTTTATTTATTAATGCCACTCCATTTTACTGCTTGACCGTTTATCCTTTCTAAATGCAACCTCATTACGACATATGGATTTCTCATGTGAAATTCCAGCACAGACTTGATTCAAAGCAGAATGCACTCTGCCCTTGAAGTTCTGCTCATACGCAGCTCTTCAAGTCAAATCATGTAAAACCATCAGCCTTTTGATGATTTGCACCTGACTTACAAAATTTTTGAGGAATCCCTGGCTACTCAAGAACTGCTTTCCCCATGCTCTGCATTTACCACTACCTTCTATTACATAGCTTCACTTCAAGTTTGCCAGAAGTACATTAATGGCAAAGACAGCATAACAAAATTTAATCGATGTGCAGACAATACAGTCAAATAAAATGTAATCATCCGCATCACTCAGCTCATGTTTTCTCCCAACTAGTAAACAGCTGTGGACACAGCCTGCATCCAATCAAAAGCTGCATGCATAACACACCATACCTTGCATCTCTGATGGTTCACTAGTAATTTCTGAAAACCCTAACTTGCAAAACATACGACTATATTTTACTGAAGAAAGGAATAAGCATAGGCTGCCCAAGCCACAAATTGAAAACCAATTCAGAAACTCAGCTGTAGGTGCCAAGTCTGCCGAATGTCACTATTTGCTGGCATTTTTATTATTATGAGTACAAGTGCAGACCAGCTTCCTGAAAGAATGAACACACTTCAAGTGTGACTGAAAAGGCAAAACTCCCAAGTCTTCTTCTAACAGCACAGAAGCAGAGAAAATAATTCCTTTAACACTGTCTGGCAAAGGTATCCCATGGGAATAGTTTTAAATGTGTTTAAAAGACAGAGAATCTTAAAAATAAATTCACGTGCTACATTCTGGTTTGTGGTATCACCAGGGCTAAAAGAACTAGTAACTGAGCAAATCTAGTAAAGTTTTGGCTTCCACAAACTTGAAAACTACCCTTAGTGAAACTTCTGAAGTACAACAGTTTAATTCTTCGTGATTTTTTGTGACTTATGCTCAATTCATTTACAATAAATCCTTGCATGCACAAGGAGACACAGAGGAAGTCAGCCAGACTTTAAGACACATTTTCAAATCTCCAAACAGCACTAAACTACATGTTTAAATTAGATATTTACTATTGTGCTTTGCTATGTACATGAGTTCCTAGCTCCTTAAGAAAATAAGACTCCTCAACATATGTCTGAGAGCTAGTTTTTGAATAATGACTGTTACTAGCTAAAATTAAGTACTTACTTTCTCTGACTCACAATAAAAACAAACAGAATATTAAATTAGGAATAAACAAGAAGGGAACAATGTCCATGTGGCCACCCTCAGAAAAACAAAGAAACATGGAAGACACTGAAGAACTGCTAAATTCCTCTTCTGCATCTGGTTACATACAAGAAGAATCACAAGAACTCTACTCATTTCATCCACTGGAGAGTTACTGAAATTTGGATGATAGATGCAACCACAGCACGTGCTACTTTTAGGATCTCATCACTCAGAAAAGAAAGTTATCCAGCTATCAGTTATCAAACACTTACTAGCACTACATTTTGCAAGTGAAGTCGAGCACATTAATTTCAAGGACAATTGCAAATCATCACTGCAACTTCTGGAGTGTGCTGCCACAGTATTAAGACTGAATTCCTGAGTATATCACAAAGCCAGATTCTAGAAACTTTTGGTGGTATGCTCAGAAATAAAACTTACTGCCCAGCAACACAGCAAGTTATGTTGATGGTGATGTTAGAGTATTTCTGATTTCCAGTATTTGGCCTCTATGTGCACATGACTCACTAGAACTGGAAAAGCTGATAAAACTCTGAGGTTAATTAGTCAGCTGTATTTTTTATTTTTTTTTTTTTTAAACTATAATTCATATATTAGGGAATGTGTGCTACACTTGATGCATGACTTCAGACAAGATTAGCTGCAAATAACTACCAGACAGCTGTATGGCCTGTTTTCCAAGATGGACAGTCCATAACATCACATCTTAAATTTCTGCACTAGCATAATAGAAGATTTCCTGCTGATTTTACATCAGCTTGTGGCACAGGTGCAAAGGACTTAAGTTACTGGCAAGCATAAGGAGAATTAATCTAGAGAGCAGAAGAGCAGCTTTTCACATTCCATAAACAACTTATAAAATTAATTGCAATAGCATACATATCAAGTCCGGATGTGTAACCAGCTTGGCCATCACTGACAAATGCAATCAAAACACATAGAAGAAGTCAAATACTTCCCTCCAAAGGTAATTAATACTGACAGTTCAGATAACCAGTAACTGGGAATTAGTCTATCCAAGTTGTTTCCAGAAATTTATAGGTCTCACAAAAGAAACAAAAAAGGTCTGTTTTAATTTAAGAAAAAAAAAAAAAAAAGAAAAAAGATAGAGGGAAAACCACAGAATCACAGAACAGTTTAGGTTGGAATGGACCCTTAAGTTCCAACCCCCCTGCTGCAGGCAAGGACACTTCCCACTGGACCAGGTTGCTCAAAGCCCCCTCCAGCCTGGCCTTGAGTGCTTTCAGGAAGGGGGCAAATGTCAGCCTTGCAAGAAACTTCATTTTTTAGTGAACATAATTTATCTCTTATGTACTATCACAAAGGCTATTATCTACAGTAGATAAATCACTGATGTCTGAAAGTTAGGAACATATATAAAGGCTATATGTTAACCCAATGCCTCAAGTGTTACAACTTCCTGAAAAAATCCTAGCTGACTCATAGAAACCAAGATCAGAGAGTCTATACTGATGTATAGACTATATCTTCTACTATATCAAGTCTAAAGGAAAAGGTAATGCCAGGCTTTATGCATCTTCTCAACAGAACAACAGCCAAATAGCCAAGATAACTATAACAGACTAAATACCTTATCTTGGCATGCCAAAACAACAACCTGTGTACCTCAACAACCCACCTAAAAATATCTCAAAGACCTTTCAGGATGCCACAAAACACAGCTGATACAGAGGGGCATGACAGATATGCATACAGAACACAACCATTGTGTGATGAAGATTCATTTATAGAATTTTGAGAGAGAACTTTTCCCCTCCATAGCAACAAAACATACGTATGAATTGTATCAAGCAATTCAAAGAAAACTGAAATAGCTACAAAAACAGTCAAGAGACAGCAGACAGACTGGGCTGCTTCTCATCCGACACCAAGACACACATGTTCAAAAGCCAGTGTGAGAACTGGGAAGAAAAGAGCTTCTGATGCTTTCACTATTTCTGGAACTTTGCACAATAAGAACCTGATGCAAAACCGTGTGAAGGGCTGCAATTTATATCACACATGAAAAGCCCCTTACACATCATCTTTAAATACCTCTCTATCTGAAAAAAGAAAATAGAAGCCATATTCGCCTAACATTCCTCTGCAACATAGAATGACATTCAAGCTGTTGTTCACCAAAAGCTAACATACTGGCAACAGAGCATTTTGTATTCAGATTTACCTCTACCTAAAAACATTGTTACCATTCTGTTTAGGGGCCGCATGGCTAACAAGTCAGAGTCAGTACCTACTCCTTATTTCAAATCTCACTTGGGATGAATCGCGGGAATTGTACCTGGATGCTATTTCATCAAGCATAGCTCACTTCAGATGCCTAATGCTAACTGCAGTTCATTGGGAAAACACTCAGACACACACATACACAGAAAATCAGACATTTTTTCTAAGCAAGCATATTCACTAAGCTTACGTGAATGTCAAGAGTGTGAGATGTAATGTGTGCTATAAACCTTTGAGAAACTAAACAGACTGGATTTCTCCAAACACGTTAAGTTCATATTTCTTGCGTTCTAGAAATAACCAGCCAACACACTTGGGATAGCAAGACATCATGTTTCTTTTCCTCCACTCTTCATGATCCCTGTGTTACTCTTACTCTTACTTACTCTCCAGGAGCAGGGGTGTCTTTCCTCCAAAGGCAATATGGATAGCCTCTTTACATTTAAAATCACAGTTAAAACTCTCAGCAACAAGCCAAAAACAAATTATGTTTGCTTCTTTAAAGATAAAGCTCAACTATTCTACACATTCTAGCATGAAAGCTAGTGCTCTTAACTTTAGACCAAAGTCTTGGTGGAAAGGCTATATCAGCCCAAATTAAAACTGCTTATTAACAGCCTGGCATAGGTATCTTATATCCTGTCCAGTCTCTAGTTAATAAGTTAACAGATGTCTGCATGCATCAAATTCTCTCCCTTCTAGTGAAAGCAGAATTTCATCATCAGGGACACAAAACAAATTCAAAATAGTTATTAGGAAGATACTGACCCCAAAGAGGTCTGACTGTGTTCTAAAAAAGAAAATCCAAAACTACTATTACAAGTAGATTGAGTTACAAAGTATTTCCATTGCAATATAACCCCCCATAACTCCTCTAGCTTCTTGAACTGTACAGAAATGTGCACTCCAGGCATGCGTTTACCTGATAAACAATGTTTATATGCTGAGCTCTACGAGAATACAATTGATGCAAACCAGCAAAAGTTTAAATTAAAAAAAAAAAAAAAAAAAAAGGCCAGGAATTTGCCATAGATATGTCAAACTTTGAGAAGTTTAACTTGACACCTTACCTGACTGGTTTTCCCTCTCGTAGCAAATCTTCCAGACTATTTTCACAGTGTTCAGCAGCCACAACCAGTCTCTCTAATAGGAAAAAAAGAAAAAGTATGTAAGAATCCGAGCTCAGACCTCTCAGTACCCACTTGGCAGACGTTACACTATTTTGACATACACTGTGCATAAAATTACACATATTGAGCTGCCATGTACTAGTTGTGTACATCACAACCATTTTCATTTATGAAATACAGCAGACAACCTCACCAAAACACATCTTTCTTTTTTGTTTTTTGGTTTTTTTTGGTTTTTTTTTTTTTTTTTTTTTACACAAAAGTATAGAATTTTATAAAACCTTTCAGCCAGTGACAGTCAGATTTGCTAACAGAGGTTTCAAAGATTAGCATCCACATGTTTGCAGAAATCTCCAGTCAGGGTGACAAGAGAGAGATTTAAAGTAACATCAACTTTGAGGAAAAGGATTCAGAAGGAGCACAGGAATCTCATCTAATCGACCAGCTAACACATTGCCAGCTGTAGTTTTTCTTGCCTAGAAAAATAGCGCATATTCTGGAACTGATGGGCTGTCTCCGAATACAGAGCAAAAGAAAGCTATTGTTACACTGAAGCTAGCAAATATAGATGATGGTACAGGACAGTGCACAGGGGAGGAAGGTTTTGCTTTTGCTACTCACAGAACAGCTAGAAGTGAACTTTCAAATTCAAAACCAAACCAAAGTAACTATCCCAAACATAAGTAGTCTTACCAGAATCACAGTAACAAAGATAGAAAGTACTTCAAGGCACGCAAGTCATAACTGACATTTTGAAGAAAATAACATCAAATCACTACACATAGGATAACAAGAATTCTGTCAGTATCAGAAGAATAAGATTTCCCATCAATGTTAGTATGTTTGCAAGAAAAGCCGCATCTTTGAAATAAATTACTTGTTATTCTAATTACTACAGTGGCTTCACTGTTACTTGCTTTTCTGCAAACTGCTTTAGTTATTGAGTATTTTCCTTTATTTTTCCATGAACTCAAACCTTCATATGTCTTCACTGTCAAACCGGCCAAGTTTGCCTATATATCTCTTGTATCTAATGCTTATGGTGGCTAATGTTTCTTAATCTCTCACCTTGAACACTACAATAAGTAAATCCCATTTTCTGCTTTGAGAGGTACTAGCAAAATTAAGATAAAATAAACAATCTTGCTAGATCTCCTGGCTACAGAAATCTAAAAATTTGTGAGTTTGAGAGCAAATGAAAACATACTCAAAGAACTTCTGCATGCTCCCTTCCTCACAGCCCCTCAGAACACTTCACAACACGTTTACTTGGCATTATCACAATTCTCTAAAAATCTGAAACATCCTATCATTTTGCACTCTAAATGAAAATACATTACCTGTTCTACTTTGTTTGATCAGTTAAACTGTCTCATAAGTTCACACAGTGCACTTTTATATTGGACCACTGTTGATTTAACAGCTGAGGCTGGCAACTATAGAAATTCGGTCACAAGTGTTGCAGACTTTTTGTGGAAATTAAGTGCTGTTGTCCCACTGAGCTTGCAACAGAATGAGATCATTTGGAACAGGAAAAACAACTGAAGCCTTATTTCAGCTAAAAATACATATGACAAGTTATTAAAAAGAAATCCTCCATACTAGAATAAAGTAATTTTTAGTGGGAGAGATCTTAAGACAGCTAGAAATCAAAAGAAAAAAAAAAAGAAAGGAAGCTGAGACACTAAGGAAAAGGAAGCTGAGACTGAGACGGTAGAACAGCTGCAAACGTACAAGAGATCGAACCATCATATGAAACTGATCACACAAACACAGCACAGGAGCTTGGCATAAAAAAAAAAAAGATGTATTTCAAAGTCATGGTGCAACAACCGAGTACCAGAATTTTTAGCTTTTATCAGTTACCATGATGCATAACAAAAGAAAACACGATGAGCCTCTGCCTCGACTCTGCAAAGAAGAAACAAAGGCACCAAGATCACCAGTTACAGAACAGTGTGCAGTTATTTTGAACCTGCAAACCAGCAACCTTCTTAACAGGTGCTATAAAGGCAATATTCTGCTCGGTCATCTTCAGATATTTTTTCATAAGATTATAACAATAAGCAAACATTAGATATCCTTATTATACAGATACTCACCATGTTTACCTCTGGTAATATCAACGTACTGGCAAAGCCTAGGATGGGTGATTGTTTTAAGGATTTGAAACCTCCCTAAAATTTTGATGGAGTTGGGTGTCAGAGGAAGGCCATTACTTCCACAAACATCATGCGGAAGAGCTGAGGCAAAGAAGGTGGAAGCACCCATCTCAGTATCTCTTAAAGGAAACATTTCTCTGTGCAATCTTAAGCTCTTCCAAGCAGGCCGTGTTCCTTAAAAAGAAAGCATAGATAAAAAGTTTACACACAAACAATACACATTTCTTGTAATCATCTTATGAGTTGCTTATTAAATAATGCACTTCCATTTTTTTCTTCCTCAGTAAGGGGAAGCTGGATATTTTTGCATAATTACCATCATATTAATAACACAGTGCTGGTGCATCATAAACATTACACTTAAACATGAAAATAGAATGACAGTTTTAAAGACTTAACAGTCAAAACTGGGTTTAGCAGCAGACAAACGCTTTAACACAGACAATCTTCAGAGCAATACTGCAATATAAAGGTTCTGTACTTAAAAACCAGTAACCGCACTGAAGAGAAAACATTCCTCTAAAGTACCACCTTGTACCAGCAGGCCACAAATCGAGATTGCCATTGCTAGTGTGATAATCCAGTATCTACATACTATAGCATTTCTAATAGTCTAAGCTGCAAAGTAACAGTCTTCTGTCCTACCAATATCTCTTTCCTACCCACAGGTACTACTCGCTCCCACACTGACTAACAAATTAAGGAAGCAATTTACAGAATGTCGGAGTGCAACATACTTGTGTATAAGAGCACATCCACAATCAGAGATGAAAAAGCCAAGCTCACTTTTCAGTGAGCTCTGGTCTGCAAGCTGTGACAGAGAAGCATGCCCACATAACATGAGACCACAGAACAGAAAAAGCTTATGCAGAAGGCTACCATTCAGCTAGCTTCAACTCCAGAGGCCTCTGTGCATGTAATCAACAGCAAGAGCCCACCATCTAATGCAGAAAGCACATCCAACTCGCTCATCAGTTAGAAAAAGGTCTTTATAAGCTCCTAAACAAAGAAACACATAAAGAGTTGCACCAGGAAAATTGGAGAAGAGGAGGAACCTGCAGGATTCAAAGCCCATTAAAAAAAAAAAATAGCAGGGAAAAGTTGTAGCATAAAAGCAACATAATTATTTCAAACCAGACGTGATAAATCTTTTACCACCATAGGAGCTTCAAGAAATAATAAGAAAAGATTGAAAAATTAGACTGATCAGTAATGAAGCTAAATACTGCTGTTATATCAGCCTTTTGGTCAACATCACAACCTTGTTCCCTGCACAAAACTCCCAGTAAAACTCACTTTCTTTTAAGAATCTTAGCTGAGATTCTGTTCCCATAATGGGTTGCACAGAGATCTTTATACAACAGACGTATTTACTGAGTCTATACAACTGGAAATTACAAAGTGTACCTTCTGTTTTTAATTATACAGTTTGATTTAAGATACAAAACAAATACAAGACAGCTTTCATCTGTGTGCATGTGGCATTTCTCCTTTAGAAACAAAGATGTGAGAAACGGTCCTTTAGCTTCTAACAGATACTGACATAAATAATATGAATGAATGCATGAAGGCATCAAACTTCAAAACAAACAACGACAAAAAAAATACAAAAATGGCACAGATTTTGTATAGTAGTATTTTTGTGATCAAAAATCTTTGTAAAGATATAATGTCTTCATATCTTATGAATGTTTAGTGTTTTAGGGAAGTGATTTATTTTATGATTCTCAAAAAGCAACTAACAGGTAGAATATACCACTGGAAAGACATAGACTGGACTGAATGGAAGCACAAAGATTTATGGGTGTGCAGCAAGTTCCAGTGGAGAAGCTTTCACTGCGTCTTTACAATAACCCAAGGTTCAGATTCCTGTAAAAACATTGTGTTTGCCAGAAAGAACTACCTGGCTTCAGAAAGAAAATACTTATTAACCAAGAAGAAAAAAATTGGATTTGGAAAGTGAATTATAACCTTCTTTGGCACGAGTCCTCCAATAACTGTTTTAAAATAAAGAAACATTAACATAACTACAGTCTGGGCAGAGGGGTGCATGGAAGGAGTAAACTTGTGCCAAACATTGTGATGGATTATATGTGTAAATATTTAATATGTTTACTCAGATGAGAGATGTTTTCATTTTCACTGTGGAGAAAGTAATACATTACATACGCTTCCAGCTGACATTTGGAAAGAAATTTTAATGAAAAAAATTGCTAAATATCAAAAACCCAATGACCTTTTAAAGAGATTAAGCTTTTCTTGTGTTCTAGATGCACTGTGCGTACAAAGATGAATTAGATCACACACAATGTTTTCAACTAGACAGCTGCACACCTACTGCTCACTTTGTTCGGGTGGGAACCAACGAACAGACCAGAAGAAATGAGAAAAACAGACAGTGTCCCTGACAGCTACTAAAAGGAATCATCAGTTTTAGAGGTATGCATTAAAACAAGTCCTCCTGTTACAGAGTTAATTCTGTTGACTCCCCTAAATGTATGAAAGAAATTATCTCTGATGCTGGAAAAGAGCTAGTTCTGTCAACATATAACTTTATTACAGTTAAGGTCAGATCTCTGTCCTTAACTCTCCATTTCCATAGACTCCAAGGACTAACTAAATCCAGTAACTCCAAAACTAAAGCTCAGTCCTTCCACCAACTTTAAGAATGGCCACCAGTTACAGCTCAAGTTAAAAGCTCTTTTCAACTAGAGTATTCTAATGCCTTCACAGACATTTCTAAACTCAAACATAAATGTTAAGCACATCTTAAAAATTCACCTGAGTTTTTAAAAAAATTTTCACTAAAAAAATCTGGTAGAAAAATACAGAGCACTACACATTCCCCTTGTGTTCAGGGTATAACAGTTCACAGAAGTTCATCTCTCCTACACAGAAAAGACATGCATTGCATTAATTTTATACATTATAAGAATGAATTATATTCTGCAGAGCCTTCTTATTCCTGCAAAGTAACAAGAGAAAAGGAAAAAAATGTTTATTATTTTAAATTGACAATAGGCACAGTTAAGGCAAATTCAATTCTAGGACTGAATTCTGGAAATTCAATTCTGATAATCCAAAACAGCGAGGATGGAGGAGGAAGTGATGACTTGTCTTATTAGCATCATGTAGAATTACCGAGTCCTTTCCAAAGCACCATTTACTGAGTATATGAGAGACAGTGTGCCGCATCTGCGAAAGAGGTCTGGCATAAAGATTAGAAGTACAGAAGCGGCCTGTTTTGCATCATACTTCTGAATAACCCTCCTCAGCTCACTCCTCACATCCAAATCTCCCTCAGAAAGCTTTAAGATACACAGAAACACTAACGTTCCCAGCAAAACCCACCACAAGTAAATCTCTGCAAGTATCTAGTCCACATTCAGATTAGAACTGTTTCACTAATCATTTATTTAACCATCTTCCCATACCAAACATTAAGAAATAAAATATGAAAGGTAGCCGTTCATCCAACAAGCTCCTTTGTTGTCTCTCTAAACACAAACTGCTCTAAGAAAACATTTCTATTCAGAGTTTAACACTAGCCATTATTTTTCCACTCAAACAGAAGGCAATCAAGTCAGCCACACACAGCCATTTGATGCTCAGAAGGAGGCACTGCATGTACAGACACACCAACCTGAATGAATTCATCCTGTGAATCGTATTTATGATGCAGCAATAACTCAGGTTAATAACTCTTTGCAATTTGGAATGTCAAGTTATCTAAATGCCTCCCCAGAACATGGGTATTCACAATCCTTGCCTTATTAACGTAGTTTTTTGGAATTAAAATGTAATTAAAATCAGTACTGTTACTGAAATATTTTTAAAACAATCAAGACAATTTCAAGAAAGCAGGTGAACGTGCTACACTTATACTGCTTTTCACTAAACACCAGTATTTGCAATGAAATAGGCCATTTTATAAAAAGAAAATACCTTTTGTGGTAACTCTTAATACCTAAGCAAGAGTTTGTTAGGATAACAACAACAACCAGAGACCCAGTTTACTTCATAGCACACAAAGTCTTAAATAAACAAAAATATTCACTTATCGGCTTTATTTTTAAATTTTAAATTTAGTTCACCACAAATTTTTTTTTTCATTTGCATAACAAACATTCACTGCAAACAGCATGGTTGTACAGAAAGACATTCTGAAAGACTGCCTATGATTCTAAATGTAAGCAACACTGCGTGTTATTGGACATATTCTCTAGTGGTATAACAACGTGCTTTTGTTTACAAAATTTCCTAACTACTGTGACACTTTTTTAAGAGGTATTCCACCTACAAATAAGAAATAACAGAGTCAAGGGCAAAAAGCTACTGAGCAGTTAGCATGCTTAGATCTTTCTTGTCCCCTAAAATAGATATTTTGGGCTGACTAATGAAGTCTGTACATAAAAGGTAATTACAGAATCACAGAATCATTAAGGTTGGAAAAGATTACTAAGATCACCTATTGCAACCATCAACTCATCACCACCATGCCCACTAAACCATGCCATTTCCAGGATCACCACCCTAAGCGTGGGCACTAGCCTCAAAACTTTGATTCAGATTCCATCTAAAGCAATTCAGCAGGCCTATTTATATAATTATAAATAGTATAAATAGTCAGAATTTTCATTATTGTACTGTTACTCAATTTGAGACCAACAGCTAATGCAAAAAAAAAAAAAAAAAAAAAAAAAAAATTCTGGCAAGGCTCCAACCTTACCTGCAACAAATATGCAAATTTTGAGGGGAAAAAAGTAAGTGGCCTGGTGATTCTGACGCAAGTGACTCATAAACATTTGGAGAGTTGTTTCACAACAATTTTAAGTAGTAATTTCTTTCCCAATCAGTGATATTCAAGCATCACCTCACTCAAGAGAAACAGAGACATCAGTAAACATTAAAAAGATGTTCTATATGAGCAATATTTGAGAAATTTGTTTCTTCTAATCCTGACCTGTTCATCTGTTTACCAGCATAATTCGCTTTACCATCCCTCTCTTCACAAAGATGGGGCTTGCTACAATTTCAATTACACACTATCATAGAATGATTAAGGTCAGAAAAGGCATCTAAGATGTCCAGCCACTCAGCTAATACCAATACTGCCCACAAAACCATGTCCCTAAGTACCAACACCTCTAAGGCCAGTGACTCCACCGCTCCCGTGGGCAGCGTGCTCAAATGCCTGACCACTCCTTCTGAGAAGCTTTTTCTAATTTTCAACGTGAACCTCTCCCGGCACAACTTGAAGCCGTTTCCTCTCTTCCTATCACTGGTTACATGGGAGAAGAAGCAGACACCCACCTTACCACAGCCTCCCCTCAGGAAGATGTGGAGAGCTGTAAGGCCTCCCCTGAGCCTCCCCTTTTCCAGACTAAACAATCTCAGCTCCCTCAGCCACTCCCTGTAAGACTCACACTCCACACCCCTCGCAACTTTTTTTTGGACACGCTCCAGGTCCTCGATGTCTTTTTTGTGCTGAGCAGCACTATTGAGAAGTATACACGGGCGTTTAGGAATTAACCCGAATAAAAGCGATACTGATTTCAATAAGCTTGCTACAGGAGGACTAGAAACACCGGTAACGCCAGGCATGCTTCAGGCCCCACCGGGCCCCACAGACGAGAGCGCTGCCAGCAGTGCAGCCCCGAGGCGATGCACGCGGACGGCCCCAGCACCCCTGATCGGGCCGCTGCTCACACACCTGGCGGGCACCTGACGGCCCTCTCTCAGCTCCGCCCGTCACTAGCGGCCACCGAAGAACGTCCCCCAGCCCCACACCCTGAGCCGTTCCCTCAATAGAGCCCGGCGTGCAGCTGCCTGCTCGGGCAGAGCCGTGTGGGCAGGGTCGGGGCTCGTGCAGGGCGGGTACCTCAGCACGCAGCACGGGTACCTCAGCGGGCGGCGCCCTCCTTGACGTAATTCCCGCCCGCCGGCCCCGCAGGCCCCCGCCCAGAGGCTCCCTGAGAGGTGCCTGAGTTTTCCGCTTATTTAGGCCTGAGAAAAAAACAACCAAACAACACAAAGAACCAATTTTTCTTTTTTCCTTCACCGTGTTGAGTTATGGGGAGGGCTTCCAAAGCAATGCTCGGTTGGGGTGGGGCGCGAGGCTTCTGCCGGGCGGCTTCAGGCTCTCGCTAAGGCAGTCCCAGCGGGCTTCCTCCCTGCGCGAGGCGAGGAGCGCGGCGGCGGCGGCGGCCCGGTTGATGTGAGTGGCTGCTTGGCGGGGCTGGGAGAGGCCATCTCGGGCGGTGTGCTGCGGAGAGGGACGAGGGTTCGAGGCAGGGAGATGGTGTCGGGGCTTCACGTGCGCGGGAGCGTGGCCTTGCGGGTCCGGATGCCGTGGTCCGTAGGGAGGGAGCACGCAGGTGAAGCGGTTCGTCCGCAGCGTGAGGTGTCCCCCCGTCAGCCCGCCCACTGGAGTGGCAGCGTGGCGGGAGGCTGCTGAAGGAAGGGCTGTGAGGGCCTGGAGGCCAGAAAGCGCCTGCTAAGCTTTACAGAGGAGCTGGTTTGCCAAATGAGGTTCACGGTGTTTGTGTGGAGATTTCAGCGAATGAAAAGTAGTATAGCAGCAAACTGTCCTCAGTAAAGATAGTTGCAGGATTTAACCGGCAGCTCCTGACTCTGCATGAGGTAGCATAGAGCAGGTAAGAAGGATAAGCTTATGATTTATTGCTTGTTACGCTACAGCAGCAGCACACCACTAGTGTTACATGGCAGAATTACTGAAATACCATACACCTTGAGCTAGCTCACCAGTAACCATGTTTCTGCTAAATTTGTTGATTTGCAGTGGTATTTTCTTCATTTTGCAAAATAGCTGCAAAGTTGTCCTTGCATATCCCGCTCTTTCTATTCCTTTAACTCAGATTTTTTTAATACTCCTGTTGTGGTTCACTAATATGTGTGATTCAGGGTACTTTATGTGAACTCTGTAGTAGTTCAAAGCAGTGATCAAATATAGCATCTCAGCAGGGTAACAGCTGTTTACAAGGGTGGATAGTGATAGGACAAGGGGGAGTGGTTTTAAACTGAGACAGGGGAGATTTAGGTTAGATATTAGAAGAAAATTCTTCACATAAAGGGTGGTGACACACTGGAACAGGTTGCCCAAGGAGGTTGTGGATGCCCCATCCCTGGAGGCATTCAAGGCCAGGCTGGACAGCCTGGTCTGGTGGTTGGTGACCCTGCACATAGCAGGGGGTTGAAACTTGATGATCACTGTGGTCTTTTTCAATCCATTCCATGATTTTTTTCATGTCTTCTTCATTCATTTGTTCTGGTTACATTCAAGTGATATACCTTATTTCAAAGATCTGTTGGAAAATAAACCACAAATCTGTATAAACAAAGCCAAAATCCTAAAACTGCTTTTTAATGTCAAATATTATTGAAAGGGATATGGTGTTATAATAATCTGTGGGTCTTAGTAACAAATTCCCCTTAGACAGATCTTATCAATTGGTAGAGTGTTTTCTTACATATTCAGCCTAAAGGATCTTTGTCATATTATGTTCCTCTCTCATCCCATCCCAAATTAACACTATGTTCTTGTTATGGTAATCCTGACTTGAAATGATTCTGAGAAGTACGTTGTTGAATTGCTTCGATGTTTTGTCAGCATTGAATCCTAAAGGTGCAAGATGTTGAAGACAGAGTGAATTAAGTCAAAATTACTCTTACAACTAACTTGAGCAAGTTTAGTTTGTGGAGTTTTTTGGTTTTGTTTCTTTTGTCATATTAATGCAGTCCTTTCTGGGAAAAAAAAAAGCCCTTATAAAGTCATAAAATTATCTTGTATATTCTGGAGGACGAGAACTCAGTAATGGTATCAGAGTGAGGAATAGATCTTAAATTTTTAATAAAATAGTGTAATACATTGCAAAAGAGGAGATGAGTTTTATCCTAGATGTACATGGACAGAATGTCTCCTAGGTAAAAAGTAATGGTCGTAAGGATACTAGCCCTAAGCATGGGTCTTCCAACAGATTTCCTTTGAGTTTCTTGGCCATTAGTAGTTTTTACTTCATCATGCATTTGAACTTCACACAAGGAAGAACTTTTTTATTTTCATTCTGGCTTTTGTTTCATCCCTGTTTTAGAGCTCACTATTTTTTCTTGGGGGGGGGGGGTCAACCACTGTGTTGTGTTGCTAGTGGAAGATGTTATATTCTCAGTACACTGTAGAAATTGTATTGACTTTGGAGAGTTAAATACTTGATGACACTGAGCAGTTGATGTATAGTAAATTCTCTATTAATTGGAGGACTTAGTCTAACTTCAGAGAATGGAAAGAGCATTATAAATGCCTAAAAGCACAGTGAAAAATATGTAGTAGAAGCGAGCATAAAGCTCACTCAGAAGAAGGAATTATCAAGTGTGGAGCAACAAGAATCTGATGCATCGTGTTTTTGAGCTTTTCTAATCAGGATTTTTTGGTTTCATATAACTACTATCATATACAGATTTCATTCACATTTGTCTCTTCTGTAGAAGTGTTTTCTGAAACCTAAAGAATTTCAAATGCTAGGCAACACAGATAAAATGAATGGCCAGCATAGGAGACAGCTGCTATGAACATCAGACATGAGCAAAGTAAATAGCATCTCTAGTTTCTTCAGCTGATAGGAGTTCTGTGACTGCAGTCCTGCAGAGAAACCCTGGTAACCTGTTTAGTTTTCCTTCAAAACAGTTACCTGTATGGTTCTTATTACCACCACAAAGATACATTTTCCTTGTTAGATTTCCTGCCATACTCGCCCTTTGGGCTTGGGGAAATGAATGTTTAGATTCCATCTCCATGGTTACCTTAGTATTAAATAGTAGCAGAATGTTCCTTTGATAGCACTTTTTTTTTAAGCTTTTCTTTTTCTCCCTCCAGTGCAGTAAAAGCCATCTTTACTCATTACTGAGTACAGTCTCAGAAGGGTTTGGATGTTTCTCAAAGCAGCTTTCTGAACTTTTTTTTTTTTTTTTAATGGATGTAAAGCTGCTTTTCTTTTAAGGAAAAAAAAAATTAAACACAAGAATTACTGGGTAGGCTTGGTGGCTATAGATCAGTAATTCATCAGTTGTCCCACTTTTCTTTTCTTTTGAAAAACAAATTGGCTGCTGCATTAGGACTTGAGATGTGCATTGACAATTATGCATTTAGTTAGAATCAGTATGAGCACTGTAACTTACCTGCTGCTGTTTTAGACTTACAAAACTCATACAAAAGAACCCAAATTAGGAGCTTGATGTGTCATCCATCAACAGCATATATTTTGTTAATACAAAGTAAATACTATGTAGTCTCATTAGTATTGTAAGGCTGTCTTCTGTTGGTCTAGAAGCTGGCAAGAGATAGGGTGATTCTTTAAAAAAAAAGTAGCAAGGAAGATTACAGTGATGTGTGACATTTTACTTACACCCTTCCCTTTGAATGCTGCCCTTTTAAAGAAATCCTGATAAAATTCTGGGAAGAAAGCAAAGATGGTAGAACTGTACCTAAAAGCTGTGCTCTGTGATAGAAGTGGTAACAGAACTGGCTACACACACTAGCTCCTGCTCATGTATTGGGAAAATGTGATAGAAGAAAGAAAAGATCACATTAAGCTGTAAAGCTGACACAGCTCTAATATGAACTTCCTAACAAGTTTCTCTCACTAAGAGAAGCTTAATTATAAGAAAAGGACTTTCTGGAATGAAATACCTGTCAAATAAGCATGTCTCTTTGGTGCTTTAAGGAGTTTAGTCTATTTTAAGCTACATCCATCATTAGACTTCTGTGTGTGGTGCTGACCTTGCACTGGAATATGTGTGCCTTCTCTGTGTGCATGTCAGGCAAATAACAGAAGCCCTATAAGGAGTGTTTAGGCTAGTCTTTTTTTTGCTCTCAGTGGCTGCAGGATACTTCAGGCTCAGCCCTGGGTGTATGGGATGGTGGCCTCCCACAGCAGGGCCTGTCCTGTCCTACTTGAAAGGATGTTGTAGTCTGCTCACCAACATCATGCATTTGCAAATTAATTTATATACCCATTTCTTCAGAATATGAAAGTAACATGTTGATGTTGTATTTCACAGGTGATTTTTTTTTTTTCCTGTTTTTCACAGTTAGAAAACCTTTGCTGTGTTTTGACCTTCCAAGTTATTATACCTGAATACAGGAAGATACCACAATTACAAAGGTAGATTTTGCTGCATATTTTTAGAAGTTAAAACACTGGGATATAAAATGAGGAAAATATTTTTTTTTCTAATGCTAGATGTAATGAAAAGACCTTAGCAGAAAAGGAGCAGAAGATGTCAAACTCATTCTCATCTACAAGTTATACTTACATGCCTAACCTGTTTTTAAAACTCTGATGATGGAAATTCCACAACTTACATAGGCAATCTGTTCAGTCCCTTGCTCTTACTTGAAAGTTTTCCAAATGTCTAACTTAAGTCTCCTTTGCTTTTTCCTGTCTGCAGTAGACCTGGTGAACAGTTTAGTCCTGTTCTCATACCAACTTCCTTTGTGTTTGAAGAATGAGACCAAGCCTCCCATCTATCTTCTGTAGACTAAACAACTTCACTTCTTCCAAGCTTTTTGATCTCCTTTGAAGTATCTTTAAGAAGTTAAAGTATAGGAGAATCTGAGCAAAAGCACATCTGTGGCAATTGTGGGGAGTCTCGGGTATGCATGAGTACAATGTGCATGTCACTTGGGAAGCCTCTTAGCAGCTGGGACATTTTGACTGTGATAAGACACAGCTAGAAAGCTTTTCTGCTTGTCTTGCCTTTACTTCCTCCCATCTCCTACCTTCTATTTTTTAGAGAACTTAAAAGCTTGAGCAGATTTTTGTTTTTTAAACTGATGGAAAGGAGCACATTAAGGGAATAAATTTCCAGAGAAGAGCTTGTACTCCTCTAATATGTTTGTGGTGTGGTATTATATTAACTAACCAGCTGGTGACTGAGCCTTAAATACGTTTAACGGTGGAGTATGTAAGAGGTACAAAGCATTTTTCAAGCACATATTTCCCCCTTAAAAAATGTTTCCTTTCCAATTCCAGTCAATGAACTACATCTGATAAATAGAATGAGAGAAAGCCCTTCATCATTATAATTCAAGTGTGATAGTTTGCATGAATAGCTTGATAGCTCCCAGTATTTGAGATTGTTTCTGTGTTCTTTTGAATATAAGTATACACATTTAAACTTATGTCAGAAAAATCCAGGCACACTCTGCTTCTGACAAATACTTATAAAACAACAGGGTTAGAAGTTTATGATCAGTTATCAGCGTAGTTTTAGGTATGTCAATTGCTGGCAGTCCTGATAGCGGAATTCAGAATCTTGAAAGTGGCATACTTATCAAGGCCAACACACAATGGCTATTCCAGATTTTAGCATCCTCTTAGTTTTGTATCACTAGTTTGTACACACAATTTCAGTTCTTCAATATGTTTAAATGAACAGGCTAGATCAAGTGATTCAAATGAAAAGCTAAAAAGAGCAATTCAATTTGCTTCTTTATAACTAATTATAACTTTCTGTGGTAGCCAATTTACTTCAAGATTCTAATAGGCTAATATTAAGATTATTAGTGGTGATATCATACCATTAAAGAATTTGTTGCTGGATTATGTGTATTTCTCTTGAATGTTCTTGACTCTATTCT